CGTACGGAATATTGCGTACTGGCATCTTTGGTAAAAATTTTTTAGTTATAATTCAAACATGGGATTGTTAATTTGATGTAATTATCGCATCGACTTTTTCTTATTGGAAAGGGAAATATATTTCCGCAGTAAATATCTCCTTCTCGCAGCGCATCGCACGCTGAATACAAAGCAGTGATAATTAGCTTTTCCGTTGATGAGACTTCTTTCGATCGGACGTGGAGTGGCGCAACCACTTCATCGGTATCCTTTTAATTCTCCTCACGCCGATCTCTCGCATTCTCTTTCTACGTTCCTTTTCTTCCTTCGCCTTCTAGAGTTTCTCGGACGATATTATAGTAAATTTGAAACGCCGAGCATTGGAAATGAAAGCGCTGAAAGCCTGTCGAAATATTTTTCGCGATCGAATTGCAGTCTTGTATATATTGGCGTTATTCGAGAAAATTGCATTTCTCTCGAATGGAAATGCTAAAAAGAGTGGCGCGTCTTGCAATCTATAAAGCCTATTCATAAGTCGCTGTACTTTATGGCACAGTCGAAATAATCTACTTTATAATAAATGCGGTGCAAAAATGTATTTGTCAATTTTAACTATATTTATTTAAATAAATTTGTTTTAAAAATATATTTCTTTATAGAAATAATCGGATATTTACAATTTACAGATATTGTGGTAACTGTAATAAATTTTAGTCGTAAGTGCTGCTTAATCGAATAAGCTCGGATTAATTTTGTTCAGCCTTTTATTATTATAGTACATTTGTATTTTGTTTCTCCCATTTATTTCGACTTATTTTCGCTTTATGGCGGTATGTGTAATTAATCGAATAAGCTCGGATTAATTTTGTTCAGCCTTTTATTATTATAGTACATTTGTATTTTGTTTCTCCCATTTATTTCGACTTATTTTCGCTTTATGGCGGTATGTGTAATTCCATTTTCGATAATATTTAATAATGCGAATTTTAAAAAAAGCGACCCTGTAAAGCGACCTAAATGTCATGCTATAAGCGAAATGCACAATGTATCTAGCTTTTTGTTTCGGTAAGCAAAGCCGCCAATATGCCATTTCTGCTTATTTTTCGACAAAAAAAAACTCGCAAAAAGTTTCACATGAAACGCATACTACGGAATATTACCTGGCCATATAACACGAGCAAATATTTCCTGCTTATTAAGCCGGAATATTGAGTTTTCTGTCCGGAGGGGCTGACAACTCCCTGGTTATTTTGTTTGCTTGGCAAAAAGACGAAATCGCGATACATGATTTGATTTCGCGGTGGAATCCAATTTAGGATTTAGAATTTTCTTAACTCACACAGCCATGAATATTTATTACTTTGGAATATTTATTAACTTTGCTATAGCAGCGCATTTTTCCTGCCGAATTGATCGCAGACTGGAAATATAAAATAATAGAAGCGTCGTAATAGTTTTAAGAAGTTAATTATAAAAATGTTTCCGATTTTTCCGGTTTATTTAAAAATATTTTAATTACATTTACATTGTTTTGAATTACGAGAGAGCTCGGTTTCGGGGACTTATATATATAATTTTTCACGAGGTTTCAATTTGTAACAAAAGCTGGAGAAGTTTATTCTCTTGTCCGGTTTCTGCGCGCAAAAGGCTTCGTTATTCTTAAATCTTAAAAGTTCGGCAATAAAACTCGGTTATACTGCAAGAGAGTAATTGTGGAATCGCGCAAAACGTAATGGAACTTACGCGAAATTTCTGTCCGGGGTAAAGAGTCCGCTGTTCAAGTTAAAGGTTCGTGAAACTTTTGGAAGTGCATAATGCAAAGCGACGGGGAAACAGCAGAGACGGAGACAACTCGCGGATTCTTACGAAAGCTTTCGCGAATCCAAAGAGTGTTTGAAATTTCTACCAGGCGAAACTTACGCCAATCGCGTCCCTGACATTTTTTCCTCTGAGCTTTTTCCACCGAAGTTTTCGAAGGCACTAGACGTGCCGTACTGCCGTCGAATTCTTTTCTCGTATATCGTTTTGCTAGAGTTCTTAATACTTGTAGTCACTGCCTGTTCATACTCGTTCTTTTGCGCTTCACGTGCCTAACAATAGAAAAGCGAATTGAATTGTATGATTTCTGCAGTTATATCGTTGTTATTATCAAATTATCTGTAATTGGAATATTTCATAGGGTTTTGTGTCAATTATTAACATTTGCGTTTAGAGATGCAAATGCATTTATAATAATGAACGATATTATGTATTCAATTATTTTATATCAACTTTTAATTTTTAATGAATTTGTTTATTTATTTTTAGTATTAATTTGCTACATGTAGAATTTAAAATCTTATGCATATTTTTTCCGAAGAAAATTGTCGAGACAGAATTATAGCTTCATGGAATTTGGTAATTTAGACATTTATTGAACCGTTTTTTTGTAAAAATCTGAATTGTCATGTCAATGTTCTGATAATATATTGACGTGTTTTACAGGAGATTTACGAAGCGTATAATTAAAGCTTATTATCTCGATGACTATTACAACAACGCAAATAATCATCTGATGATTTTATATTTATAAATACTGGCTGATGATCAATCTTTAATTAGAAAACGGAATTGCGTATATCGCGCGCATGTCGTATATTGTTTGTCCATCTGATAAATAAACAATTCGCATTCGTCGGTATTATCAGCTATGTCCTTTTGAGATTAAAAATAACTCGCGTTGCGTAATGAAACAATATTAATTTTGATGAAGTCGATTTGTGAACTTATGCAAATTGAAAATCGAGTAATTCTTTAAAACCGAGTAGAGTAATTTTAAACTCAATATTTCTTCTGACAACAACACTGACTTTTTTCTAGTAAATTAACGTAAAATATTTTACATTGTGTTAATATTTAAGGAGTTTATTCGAAAATCAGGTGTGGTAAACACAAAATCTATTAAATATTTTTAATGAACATCGCAATTAAAATTTTAAATTAAAATTTCAAATCTTGTTTCTTTGAAACGCCACTATAATCATACGCAACTTGAAGAGTGAATGTCACTCTTGCATCAAATATTAGTTTGTAATATCTTTATGGATACACTTGCAGAAGCCGGAACGTAATGCCGCATTTTGTAATTTGCAAATTAAAGAAGGACAAAAGAGCTTTTCCACATAATTAATTAAGTAGCATGCGTTAGTGGGAATTATGCTACACAGTATTATTATTACGCTTATCATTTCGCATGAGAAGCGCGAGACGTTTCTGCCAGACAGAGTGAAAATTCTTGATGACATTTGCAAATGAAATCAGGCCATTAAGGTACTGTCTCTTCCATCTTGTTCCACGCTATTTCCACGAAGACAATGCGACGTTACTTCCGGCCTGTCCGCATTCCGCAGTTATCTCGCAGACAGATGACAGAGATATTGCCGTTGCCTCGCGATTAATCTGCATACTCATCTGGATAACGATTTGTTCGCCCCAGTAGCGGCGCGCCAGAAATACGAAAATCTTGAAATACGAGGATAATCTTATCAGATTCGGGCTTTTGCTGTGACAGGATTTCTGAAGATCATTTGGATCATATTGATATGTGAAATAAGTGAAAAGTTAAATATTTTTACATTGATTTCGAGATCCCTACATATTTTAGCCTGTATTTTGAATCACTTAGCACTTACTTTTAATTACATTTCGAGAACGTGTTACTGAAAATCAATACGGATTATGGAATTTTCCGTCTTATAATATTAAAGCAATCGTAGAAGCTTCTATTATAATCTCCATATTCGTCGCGGTCTGAAGTCTGTTTCTCGTACGATAAGACGTGGCTCACCTCTCTCACGTACCTCGCGCTGGATGCCGGGAGCACGTCTCGCAGTGACATTTGCAAATGATGTTAGACCGTATTAGCGTACCATCTTCCATTTACGTGCCACTTTGCGAGAGAGACAAAGACCCGAGTCTTGCTCCTTGTGTGCCTGCGCGCAGCCGAGCGAAGCCGAGCCGAGTCGAGTCGAGTCGTTCCTAAACTAGTTCCAAGTTAATCGGTGACGGCGTTACCATTATGGTGTAGGGTTGCAAGGACGCGAGAAGACCAGAGACCTCCTGGAAAGATGGTCTAGCGGATGGGTCGCGGGAAAAGGGATGATTTGCATTTTAATTGCACCGGCAATCTTCCTTCCCGCCCTCGTCGCCGGCACTCGTACGCGGACCAACTGGCTCTTCCCAGTTGCTCGCGGAGAGTCCGCTCGAATGACGCAGACGTTTTTTATTTAAATTCGCCGCTGTTAGTTGCAACTCTCACGAGCGCGGATTACGTGAGCGGTAATTAAACGAGTTGATACTTCCGCGTCTTAACTGCGTTAAATATATCAGATGTCGCAAGTATTAATAATGTCGATTAATTATTCTTATATATCTGTGTGTGTTGCTAAAATTCGGCACAAATTTTGAAAAAATTACTATCTTCTTGCCAAAAATTTATTTATTCTAATTTAAAGTAGAACTTTTGTAAGTAATCATGCATATAATTTTTAGTATTTTGAAACAAATCAGAATTATAAATTTTTAAAACATAAAGCTTTAATATATTAATTATGTCAGATGCAAGAATGTACAAATAGAGCGGAGAGAGAGAGAACAGGATTTAAAATCAAGGATTTTATTTCATTCCGTGATTATTATTTTAAATGCGCAAGAATGATTACGCTATTTCTGAAGAGAAACATAATTAAAATCTTGTTGTAGGTTTCCTTTATAAAATCTGAGGGGCATGACGGTGTCTCTCGTTTCTTTGGTATCTTTCTCTCTTCATCTTCGCGTAATTGAACGACGAATAACGGCGTGGAGAAGTTTTCACGAAGGGATAGTCACGAACTTTGCCGCTAAGTTTCTCTTGTTTCACCCCTTGGGCCATTAATAAATTTCACGCAACCGGATAATCGATGATTCGCAGGAATATAACGTGAGAATGGCTTATATTACCATCCGATAGTTATTGAGAGATGCAAAATAATAATTTGGTCAAATACAAAATACATCAACGCTATATTTTAGAATGTAAAGTATAAAAGTACAATACATTATGTATCTATACTTTTTCTCAGAGTGATGTTCATAATTTTGAACATCAGAGATTATTTCTACTACGCCGGATATTAATATGTATAAATTAATTATCAAAATGTACAAGTGTATTAATTATCAAATGTACTAATGCATGCGGTTACTTATGTACATCTATCTCATCATTATTATTTTACAAGTTAGCCTGCCTATAAATGCATTTATTGCCAAGCATTGATAATATTTTATCACACTCTTTTTCTCTAACGCAATTATTAAAACATTGAAACGTCAATAAATCACATGACTATAACGAATGACTAGAAACGATGCTTTTTATGCACAATATTTTTTTCTATTTTTTTGCGACGCAGAAAATAATACATTTATAATAACGCACAATAATCAAACAATACATTTATAATAGTAATTTTCTAAGGAATATTAATTTTGTATTATTCACATTTTTGCGATATCTCGCTCGAGAATCTAAACACCATTTACATAAAATACGGTAACATAAATGTTCCAAAAGTATCTATTAATTTTGATGCATTTCAGATCTTGTTGTTGTTTCGGAAAATCGTAGATTCTATAGCACAATGCTATTAAAGCTACGTAATTCGAGAAGAACATATACCATTATCCGTGCGCGTGTGTTTCGAGTGAGTTCATAGCTTGCGAACCCCAAATTTGCCTTAAGAGCGAATACAGGCTCGTCTTCGTGGTCTCTTGATAGAACTAGTTTAGATACAACTGTCACGACAGTCGGGTTACATGTTAGTATCGCCATAGTACCGCTGTCTGTGCTTGTTTTACGACCTGTGTTACTGGCTACAGTGGCAGTTGCCTCACACTAGCAACGGATAGGTTAAGGTCTTCCTGAATTCATTCCGCGGTCCATCAGCATTTCCCTTTGGTATTTGGCCTTCGAATTATTCAGTCGACCTGGCTCTCTCCCGGCCGAGAGCCAGAAAGTAGCAAGAATCTCTCGCTGTTGACATAGATCGCAGCTGTCTTAAATAAATAAGGGCGACCGCGTCCAGCGTGGCGATAGCTTCTCGTTTTAACGTTTCGCAAGATGCATACGAGATCAGAGTACTGAAGGGTATCCAAGCGGGACCGGTGACGTAAATAGATCAACACCTGGTATTAATCCTCTCGGTAAAGCTGATCAAAAGGTGTATATTCTGATTTCGGAATCGGGCGCTGAATATTAATTTTCGAGATCGCGTAACAATGATAAAATTACAGGAATACGCTTATTCATTAATATTCGCGAACATTTTAAATACCTTTGCGTAGATTGACGCTGTAATTTTTTTTTTTTTTTAATTTAGAGATTTTGTTTCACGGAGAAACTGCAATTGCCTAATTAGTATATTGATTAAATAATATTTTATTTAACAACACTTTCTAATTAATATTGATATCGAGATTTTAACACCGAAATTAATTGGCACTTTGTCCCTCGCAGACCCTTCATTCCGCGTCTGCTTTTCTAGTTACGTTTCTGAGCAGGATTGAATATGCAATCGTGATTAAATGCAACCGTTTCCCCAACACGCGCACCACGGCACATTACCACTACTAGTACTAGTCTTGCGAGCTTTCACGCTAGCGGTTTCTCGACTACTGACCGAGTTCGTCCTTTCTCGTTCCGAATTCGGCGCGGCACCATCCGTGTACTTGTCCTTAGTCGCGTCTACACTGCCACTCCTGGAGGTCTTCAGGGACGTCTGGGACGATCGTCTCTTGGAATTAATGTGGACGGATACTCTTCGGTTTTGGTCCTTGCGCGGCGAGTCTTGTCCCGAGGACGACGATCTGCTCTCGTTCTTGTCCTCTTGCGCTTCGGATATAGTCGTGCTCAATTTCCTCAGCCGCTTCCGTGTCACTTTTGTCGGCGAGTCGAGTGTGTCCGTTGACATAGCGCCGCTCTGTTTCTTTAGTCTTCTTTGCGCAATCAGAGATGATCCTTGATCCTTAATCAGGCTTTTGTCCTTTTTCACGATTTTTTTCCGCCTTTGTCCGCTCGGCGAATTCGGCGCGCCGATCGTTTCCTCGTTCTGGCGCTCGTCTTCGTGATGCGAGTCGCCGTCGATCGACGTCTGCGTTTGCGCAGTCACCTTTGTGACATTATCGTAATACATCATTCCGCCTCTCTGCGGATAAAATTGACTAGATCCCCGCGGGACGAAGGGAACGTTCTGGTAGAGATTCTGATTCTGCAGGTATCGATTTGCGTTTAATCTCCTAAGCGTGGTCAGATCGTACGGAGCCGAGGTAGGTATTAGAGTGCAAGGACTCGGTTTCTCGAAGGAAGTTACTTGAATATCTTGCTTACCGCTCGTCAATTGATCGCTGGATATTAACAATCGATCCGACGAATGCGTAGCTCGAAGCTTCTCGTTGCGATGAATACCTCGGCCGTAAGTTGACGTAGGATACTGATAAGCGAGACCGTCGTCGTTCACCTGAACGGAGAGCGGTGTCGCGGCGGGAGGAGGATTCGGTTCCGCTTGGTAGCTGGGACAGATCTTGTCGAAGTTTCGCAGAAAGGGATTCCTGAAGAGGCGGTAATCTATCGAGGGCAAGTTGGGAATCTCCGGCGTCTCCGGACTCGGCGCTTGCTCGACTCGCGGTATCTTCAGTGTCACGTTTAGATGACTCTTGTACGGCTGGTTGGCGGAGCCGTTCGTTATACTGTCCAAATTGTTATCGCTTTTCGTGAACATCTGAGACTCGATGTGATTTAGTTTTAATTGCTGCCCTCCGTCCTGAGACTCGCTCGGGAGATTTTGGCAGGATATCGATTTTATCAGTTGACCATTCGAAATACCTTTACTGTCTGTAATCAACAGGTTATTCGTGCTTAATGATGCTTTCGAGTCATATCTGTTTCTTGGAGCGTTCTTATCTTCGTAAGGAATCGCGCCGTTTACGTAAATATCCATCGATCCTTTCTGCCCTAAGAAAGGATTAGTTCTGGAAATCACCGTGGAAGCTGTCTTGCCGCTGCTCGAACTAGTTCCGGTTCCAAAGTGACTCATACTGGCGGTTGGCGACTCCTCCTCTTGCTTTTTCTGCTTGAAAGACAGCGGCGCGAAGAAGTGCTTCGGCTTTTCCGGCGCGGTTTTTTCCACATTCTGACTCTCAACTCGCGTATCTTGTCTGCTGTTTATTATCGCGTTGTTTTCATTAGTAGAATTCGCGATAATATCCCAAGCGCTTCGACCAATCGCTTCTCCGCAGCTCAAAAGCTGCGTTCGCGAATCCTGAAAAGCTAACGCGTCCTGGAGCTTCGTGGGTTGTTTCGCGCTCGCGTTTCTTCTCTTCATGCAGCTAAAAGGATCGGAGGACGATGAATTTTCCAACGGAGAGCTCATTTGCATTTCCGTCGTCGACGCGAGGGAAGCGATGTTCGCGTAAGCTGGCAATCGGTCTTGAGAGAGCACGTCGCTCTGCCAACCGACGGGCGGGACATGAATTTGAGGTAGCATCGGATCGGCCAGTTGATCCAGACCGGCGTCTAAGCCGGGCAGCGGGATCAATGGATCAGGTTGTAATCCCGGGCAGGGCGAAGCCAATAACGCGGACGTATCCGTGGGTAGCATTAAATCGACCGTACTCGGGAACTCGTACGGGCACTCGGTGTAATAACTGGTTCCGCTGAAACCACTCGTCGGTTCGTACGTGGCCGGATAAAACGGGATGTTATCGTGAAGTTGCCGGGGGCCGAGGATCGGCGGGGGTGGGTGCCGGCCGGCCTCGTTCTTCTGGCCCTCCTCCGACGGGGTCACCTCCTTCCTCTCCTTGTCCCGCTTCAACTCCTCCTCCTCGTCGACGACCGACAGATCGTCGAACTCCACGTGAAGCCGATGCAAACTGCTGCTGCTCATCTTTTCGGAGGAGATCTTCTGATTTTCCGCGTTTTCTAGCTGCTCCTCCTGGTTAAAATCCTCGGTCTTTTCATTACCCTCGTACTCCTCCTCGTCCTCCTCGCAGGAAGAATCCGACTGCGGGCCGTCATCCTCCTCGGAGTGATCCTGCAATTTTTACGACAGATTTCGATATACTATTATTGATTATAAGCCGTGATAATTATTCTGTTTTAATCGCCGCTAACATCGTTATGGAAAATACAGGAACAAAGTTTGATTATTTATTAATGGATTTTATGAATTATCCGTGATGCAATTAATTAAAGTAATGAAAATTTTGCCGACCTCTTCGCTTTCGTCGTGGCTCTTCTGTCTCTTCAGGATGTCCTCGAGCTTGTCGTACTCGTCCCTGAGGCTCCATATTTCCCTACGCAGCTGCTCGTTTTCCCTGCGCAATTTCTTAATGTCGTTCTGACCTGAAATCACGACAGACTCGAATGATTCGATTCAACATCGCACACCCCCCGAGTGAGTTATTCCTATATCGAAGTAATAGGCCGATATATCCTGGCAGATTCGTCTCGCAATTTTTCTCGCAGAAATCACTTAATCACTATCCGGTATGGGGGCCAGCAACACACGGTTGCTCGCAATACGCGTTGCACCTATCGGAACGATCGATCATTGGTCAAAGCGGCAACAATCTCCGTCCGAGGAGCCAGCCTCCTCTCTAACCCTTCGCCCTTTCGTGCGTCAAGAAGCCGGTGATAAATCACCGGAGCCGGGCCTTCCAATTACTTAACTTTGCGGAGAGAGAGACGAATAAACCTCGCCGTCCACGCATATAACGCGTTAAATCTTTTCTGGAGAAAGCGCGCCCATTGCGATGCAACCGCTTGATAGCATTCGCTTTTCTAGCGATGGAAGCGCTGTGTATAAATGTACGTATATAATATAAATAAGGATAAAGATCTCTTCTATAATGGCTATTCTATAATGGCACGGCGCCTCTCACGCCGTGAAATTTAAATAGAAATAAATTCATTTTATGAATAAACATAAATTGTAAACTTTAAGATGTTTAAAGAGAAATTTAAAGTCGAAGTCACTTTGAAAATTTTAATTAATTCTTATTTTTCTGCTTTACAATATATAAATGTCTAAAATCACTCAATTCGGATGATGTATGCAGGCGTAAGAAGCGCCGTTGTTGAAAACGAAGTCGATCGGTCCTCCTTTTTGAGCGTTAGTGATCTTCGACCCACCTAGATGCGAGTTAAGTTAAGTATCTCATCAGTCATCGAAGTCTTCTTCCACTTCGATGATTAATGGGTTTATGCTTGGAGCGTGTTTTCTCAGCGCTTGAACTACGACCCGATCGCGGAAGTTTTCAGATAATTCAGCGATCTATACCGGTGCTGCTTTCCATTATCTATAAGCGTATACGCGTAATACTTGTTCTCTTTCCAAGTTTGACTAGCTAGTGTTTTAAATATCAGTTGCCGGGAGAGAGCAGCGAATTGAAAAGCAAAATGAAATTAATATATAAAGATTTATGTTTCTTACGCATAAATTTATATTTTCTAAATTATCACACATTTAACGCATTTAAAATTAACATACGCAGAATAACATTTTCCAAAGGTTTTTATGCTTCTTTAATCGGCTTTTTTTTATGAGACAAAAATATTTTGTGCGGCTTATCGGTTTTGTGTTGGCCATGCATGTATAAAAATTGCGTACGAGCACACGCGCGATAACAGTTTCCCTTAAGCCTAGAGAATAAGTATGTGTGTGTAACAAAAAAGCTACGTGGTAAATCAGGATTAAAACCTGGCTTACGTCTGAAATTTAAATAAATTAAATCCTTCCGGAGGTTCATAAATTCGGATTTTCCCTGTGGACACCGACGGTTATTTGGATGCTATTAAAACTTGGACCATTCATCTTCCGCATGAGCCGTTTGAAAACGATATTTGTTCAAATATACTAAAATCGACCATTGATCTTTTTATTTGCCGATGATGGAATATAAAAACCATTCTGTGAAATAGCAACGTATTAATTTCACTATTCAGCTCTCATATGTGTCCACATTTGTAGAATTTTTTTATTCAAAGAGAAATTTGTTTATTGCCGACACCTACACGGGATGTTTTATGTCAATATATAATATTTCATTTAATATTAAATTCAATATATTCAACATTATATTTTGTCTATGAGTAAAATTTCACATAAAATTTATTTACAATATATTTGCGTGTTGTTATTCTACTTGAAAAACTTTTGTTAGGGAAAAATTGATTATAAATTTATAAAACAAGAAAATTGTTTTTGAAATAAATTTTGGTGGCGTTGAAACAAAAACACAGCCCGAAAAAGTAATAAAGTCGCAGTTGGCTGTGTGTTTGAAACGGATCCGCCGACGCACGTGACGTTTATGAGCGACGTATAAAAAGAACGAACATTGCATGACTTATGGATCTTATATCAAAATAACATGACGATTTTTTGTTTGCGTAGGTAAGTTTGCTGGCGCGAATGCACGCTGATATTTTTAGCCGCGTGCAGCACACCCTTCAATCAAGCATCAAGCTGAATATTCGTGAGTAGCGACAGGATATGGCTCACTGAAAATCCTCTCTGGATGGCGACTGGTGTCCATTTTATTTTCAACAACAAAATGATTGTGACAGCTCGAGTTTCGTATCAGGTTATCAAAGCAGCCAGGTAAAAATTTTTACTGACATATACGGACATCGGTTTAAAGATTTGGATTACACTAATTTTTTCATGGCTTCATGCAACGTATACGAATATGAGAATCTATTGGTTTGTGTAGTAAGTAATTTTTCGGAATTTCTAATAGAGAAACTTATTGAAAAATGCAAAATTGAAGTGAAAGTAATTAGTACCAATATTAAATCAGATAAAGCTTTAAAACGCATGACGCTTTAAAATTATGTTTTACTCATTAAAGTTCTATTATAAATACGGGACGAAAATATCTTACCGCGCACGCGTATACTTTATCATCTTTTTTACGTCATACCACTCGCTAAAGTACGCTTCATTTTTTGCTCGTGAGGAGAGAAAGAGAGAGAGAGAGTTTTAATTATTCCTGTTCAAACACGTGCCGGGAAGGTTTAATCACTCGGTACTGTCGGCATCGTGTTCGTCCTTATTTCCGTCGCTCGGAATTCCCTGCGTCTTCGAAAATAGCGACGGTCCGGCGTTTCTCATGGAGAACCGACATTAATTAATCCTGGCAGTTAAAAAGAGCGAACCGCCCGTCGCATTCGTGGCTGCATCGCCATTCGAAGAGCGATGTACTCAAACGATATACGTGTACGCATAAATTCGTGGACTCGTGTTTTTGAAGGAAACAAAGAGAAGGAAACAAAAATTATATGGAAATGGGAGGGAGTGGGCGAGAGAGGGCCCTTCGCATTTTTCGCCGACTTCGTCGGTCGGTCTCCTTTCGTTTACTGTGGGCGTTTTCGCCGCGAAGGTGATCAAAGCAGCTGCGAAATACATATTTGGTTTCGCCAACTCGCCGTACCTATCAGCAGGCCGGAATTTCTTCTGGTTCTTTGAAAAGTGGAAATTGCGTCCCGGCCGACGAGAACGAGTGCAAACGAACTCGGGGAAAATATTCCCGGGGTTCGCTTTTCACTCTTGGTGCCGCCTCTGCGATTCCGTGCGTTACTTTGAAGCAAAGCGATCTTCGCGAATACGAGAAATCCTGCTGCGCGCGGCCGTAGGCGTTCGATTGATCTCGCAAAAAATTTTGCCAGTTTGTTTACACGTCGCGTATGATTGAGTCTGTTAACGAGTGACGATGAGAAGCGAGCGAGGTGAAGCGCGTGATTCTCGAATTCATTTCAGTGCATCTTCATGATAAAATATTAAAAAATGATCTTTAAGAGACGAAATATATTATTGACACACGCGAGATATGTAATTGCAAATAACATTGTCTCTGGCTGGTGAAAAATTATATATGCACCAAAAATATGGATATTTATTTTCTATATATTTTGTAATTAACAGACTTTTGTAGCATCAAATAATAATTTTGCATAATAATTATAATATATTCTTAATATATATCTGTAATATATAAAGTTAGGCGCATCGAGATGTTAATGAATTCATTATCGTAGAAACTTTCCACTTTGTTTATTACAAACAAGATACTCCAGCGGATCGATACTTTGAAGAGAATATTGCATAGTTTACACAATAAATTTTCAGTTAAATATAAGAATTCCTATTTATATACCTGTGCCTAATTTAACGGCGCGAATCACCGTCGGACTATTTGGCGTAGCGGAATAATTGTCGCGTTTATATATCACGAAACACGCTCGTCTATATCTCGGTGATTCACAGACGAACGGTGGTTGAGTGTTAATTCATACCCCTGGCAGTAAACCAGAATGGCCATTAAAGCGGTCCTCAAATCGAAGAGAATGTCGCGGAGTTAGAAAATAAGATATCATCGCGTAACTCTCGCGGGCTCGCGTGAATTTCAATTACAATGTTTATTATGCATACAGGATGCTTCTAAATTGCCGCAGCAGATCCACGTTATTATTCCTCGCGGAATAGAGGAATTATATTTTCTTAACGGAATTACACTTTGTATATATTCTTCTACAAGTTGTATTAATAGTATTTTCCCATAATATTTATACACATAACAATACGCGTGTAATTGGCTTATTATTGCATTGATATGAGAAGAAAATTTCGTTATTAATGTACTCTGAGAAAGCTTTTTTTATTAACGGCAAAGAAGTTGCGTGCTTTAAGGTTCTTCATTGAATACCTAATTTTTTATTAGCTTTATTATTTTGAGATATATATTTTGCCGTAATATAATTTCTCAACTTCATATCACTTTACATCGTGGGTCGCTGGAAACGTCACCGTAGAAACCACGTCTAGACCAGGTAATCTAGATCGACGGATGGTCGCGTTAGTTAACACTTCATTTAAGGCCTGCAAGCTCACAGTTACGAAACGCGGTCCTTCTGGATATAATCGAACGTGACACGGCCGTCCATCCGTCGGCTGCCAGAGCGCGCCCGAATTAGATCACGCCAATATCCCATGTAAATTATCGCTAACAGATCACTGCCGTAATGCCGAGATCCGACGTAATTTCCCGTCAGCGAGCCCGGCGGCCTTATGGAAAGTAAAGGATATCTCTTTTATGAGATAAAAATAAGTATCTGGTATTTTGTCTCAAATTTTTTAGAATATTTTTTTCTATGAATTATAATATAACAATTAATTCTTAGAGTTCTGTACTCTTAATTTTCTAATCTTTTGAAATAGTTAAAAATAAGAAAGCAAAGTTTTTATTACTAATTTACACTTTTGAGACGCGATGCACAATAGCGCCGTGAAGGGAAGTGCGATTGCCGCGAGAAAAGCAAGTAAAAAATTTGTTCTCAGTCGATTC